CCGTGTAATTCTTTATTCTAATGTGCATTTACCTTGCGAATCGATCCCCGAACGCCTCGAATCTCGATTAACCACAATTGCATTTAAAATGTGACCTCCCAATTCAAGTACAAATAAAGATATTCGGCCTTAAACTTTTCAGAGATCTAAACCAAGACCGGAGCTGTTGAACACGACTTCGAACCCGACTTCTAGAGCTGCTATTTTTGTGCGAAAGAGAGACTGTTTCGAGGTGTTTCTAGCTGAGTTTTGGTGTTGATTATGGGTGGAAAAGAGGAATGTTTCATCTAGGTTTTTAGCTGGTTTTGGCAGCGTTGTTTAGAGCTGATTTTGGGTCTCATTTGAGGACTGTTTTCTCATTTGGGGGCTGATTTGAGGACGTTTTTGGGGTGTTTTGAAAAAGGTTTCACTATTGGTTTTGGCCAACTTTTATGGTATTTTGATCTTAATTTTCTTGTGAGAAACTAGTGAAGAGGTGGTGCGAGGAGGAGTTGTTTTATGGTGGTTTTGGGTGACATTTTGGCTAAATTTATGGAGAAAATAGCAGTTGATTTTTGGAGCTTGTGAGTTGTTTTAATGAAGTTTTCAGTTGGATTTACATGGCTGGATCTTAGATCGTATTCATGGTTGTGTAGAAGATCAAAGAAGAAGAACAATAACCATCAAAAATGAAAAAAAAAAAAAGAAACCCAAACCCAAAACTGTGTTTTTCCCCTTTCTCTAGCATTTTTTTTTTCGTTCCCCGCTTTCTATTGCTACTCCAGATATGTGTGTGTGTGTGTGTTTTAAGTCCGAATTTTGTCCGTTAATTATCCGAAACTCACCCGAGACCCTCGGCACCTCAACCAAATATACCAACAAGTCCTAAAATATCATACGAACTTAGTCGAGGCCTCAAATCACATCAAACAACGCTAAAAACATGAATCATACCCCCAATTCAAGCTTAACGAAACTAAGAAATTCCAACTTCTACATTCGATGCCGAAGCCTATCAAATCAAGTCCGATTGACCTCAAATTTTGCACACAAGTCATAAAATGACATAGCAGACTTATAAAAATTTTCAGAACTGGATTCCGATCACGATATCAAAAAGTCAACTCTCCGGTCAAACCTCCAAACTTAAACTTCTTATTTCTGCCATTTCAAGCCTAATTTAATTATGGGTTTCCAAATAATTTTTCGGACACACTCCTAAATCCAAAATTACCATACGGAGCTATTGGAATCATCAAAACTCTATTCCGGGGTCGTTTACATATAAGTCAACATCCGGTCAACCTTTTTAACTTAAGTTTTTATCCTTGAGAGTAAATATCTCAATTCATTCCAAAACCTCACCGGACCCGAACCAATTACCCCAGCAAGTCACATAATAAATGTAAAGTAAAAATTAAATAGTAAATGGGGGAACATGACTGTAATACTTAAAACGACCGGTTGAGTCATTACAATAACTGAAACAACTATCATAAATATGTAGAAGTAGAGTAATTATATTAAATGAACAAAAATAGCAAAATTGGCAATCTGGAGTGAAGCACGTACAACTAAGTGTTAAATAGTCAAAATATTTTGTCACAAGTTTTAGAGACATAATGAACGTCGATGAACCTTTCAGCAAAAAAAATACAAATTTTAAGGTGATTACGTCAAGTACTATCAGTAGTTCTAAAATTAATGAGAATATAAATTGTATATACCCGCTTGGTAAAATCATACTTATAGCATCAAATGAATATCGAAAAAAATATGACAACAAGAACAAATTCAATATTCACTTAATTGATCATCTTGCTTCAAACGGAGACGAGCATACAATAAAAAATGATGTAAAGTTGAAGATTGGTTGTTAAGGCCAATAAGGTATAGTAATGTTTAAGATTGCTTAATAATAGATACATTTTGATTATAAATGAAAATGCAAGCGTGCAAAATATATGACTGAAAGAGCTATTTTAGCAAACAAAAATATTTAAGTCGATCAACTAAATTAAATGCTAATTATGCAAAGTTTCTTGGTGAAAGGAAAATATTTTTTAGATTTGACTCAGTAAAAGATAATACCAATTACGGCTATTATCAGGAAGAATATTTAAAATACTATAACACCAAATAATCTTCTGCTACACATCTTCGTTGTCAAGTTAATACATTTTATATATCTTTAGAATTTAACTTTTGCCTCTAGACATGAAGGATATCTTTTAAAATTCGTCCAAAAATAATTTTAAGTACATTTATTGTATTTTCATATAATAAATTGACTAAAAATCAACGTGCAACGTAGATACATAGAAACTAGTTTTTCTGTATGTATTCATTCGCCCACAAGTATTGTTGGTTCGGTGATGGGCTTTGACTGGTAAACATAGAAAACCCGATTATTCAACGGCCCAATATATGGCCATTCAGCGGTCCAGGCGCATATCATAATGCATTTTCGTATGTTTATCTTACACAACCCAATCTCTCTTTCGTTGAAAATATTCGTAAGGAAGATTTGCATAACTAGGATCATTTAGTGCAAAAATTTCCAAAAAATATGATATATTTTGGGGTGATGTTTAACTTTTGACCCCTGCTTGCTTTATGGAAATTTCAAGGTCAAAAGTTAAAAGTGTTGCCATGGGAAAAAACGAGAGACAATACTTTTTAAGCTTAAAGTTTTGCCCATTAGGCAAGCGAGGATAAAATTTCAAGCATTTCACCCCATTTAGTGCCACCGTTTATATTTTGACCTCATTAAGAAAAAAATTAGAAAAATAATTCCGATGCTAGAATTTTAAAGTTCACTACCATAATTTTGTCTGAAAAATCTGGCATCAAACTTTAAAATTATGGTGGCGGGACTATTTTACCAAAAAGTTTCTTAACGAGATCAAAATATTAATAGTTGTTCTAAAAAAATCCATCCAGCGTAATTTTCTGTATTCATATATATATATATACGCGCAAATGCGTGTGTGTGAAACTTGTTATTGTTGTATATTAAGTTGCCGTGATCGTGAAAAATTATAAACTTCAAATCTTGAATTATGTCTATGTATACAAGGCCTATATTGTTGAATCGGTATTTTGCTTTCCTCGATAAGTCTCATATTAAGTCAGAAAATCAATTATTGTAATGATATCAATAGTGAAAACAATACTCTTGTTATCAAGAGAAAGAACCAAATTATCAGTATTTTAACAAATAGCAAAAAGATATCTATCATAAAAGATGAAAAGGTTTGGAGAATGAAAATCAATTCGTCTAACTTTCAATCTCAATACGAACCTACAACAACAATAACATACCCAATATAATCTCAATACAAACATAAATATCAATTATTTAAAATTAATTTTTAGATTTATAAACAACATGACTGTATAACCAAAGTAGTTTAAAACCACATGTAAAAATCTTTATTTCTAAGGTACTATATAAAATGAAGTAGCTAGAGTAAACGTTTGTATAACAGAAATATCTAAATACTTACCTGCATCGATAGTTATACTTAACTAAAAATTAATTTAAAATTTAAAAATTATACAACAACAACAACTCGGTATAATCCATTAGTGGGGTCTGGGGAGGGTAGTGTGTACGCAGACCTTACCCCTACCCTGGGGTAGAGAGGCTGTTTCCGATAGAAACTCGACTCCCTCCCTCCAAGGACTCCATACCTTANATATATATATATTGACTTGATACAAATATCTTTATACGGTTTTTAAGAAAATAAATATACAAAGGGAGATATCGATCCCGAAAGAGAGAAGGAAAAGAGAAAATGACTCTCTATAGCCCCTCAAAATTTTAATAGCTCATGTTTTTCCCCACTGACACGAAATATCCCTCCGACCCAAATATATTACATCTAATAGCCCGAAATATCTATTTTGTATATTTTTTGTATAGTGACAGTCTATTTTGTATATTTTTTGTATAGTGACAATCTATTGTATATAAATTGTACAGTGACAGTCTATTTTGTATATTTTTTGTATAGTGACAGTCTAGTTTGTATAGTGATAGTCTATTTTATATATTTTTTGTATAGTGACAGCCTATTTTGTATATTTTTTGTATATAGTGACAGTCTATTGTATATAAATTGTATAGTGACAATCTATTTAGTATATTTTTGTATAGTGATAGTCTATTTTATATATTTTTTGTATAGTGACAGCCTATTTTGTATATTTTTTGTATATAGTGACAGTCTATTGTATATAAATTGTATAGTGACAATCTATTTAGTATATTTTTTGTATAGTGATAGTCTATTTTGTATATATTTTGTACAGTGACAGTCTATTTTGTATATATTTCAACGATGTATATACAGAATTAATTGAAAAGTAAAGTTTGGTCAAAGCCAATATGCCATTATTATCACATTTTTGTATAAAATAAATGAAATTTAAGCTATTCGTCTCTAGAGGTCAACACTAGTCAAAACTGTCCAATAATATTTCAAGAAAAAAATGTTCAACTTTGCGGTACTAACTTGGAGTTCCTTGTCATGTTTCATATGGGCATCTGACAATCATTTTACCGGAAAGCTTCCTAAATTCTTTGTGAACTTTATGAACTTCCAAGTCCTGTATGAATGATTTTGTTTTTCTGGTTATCTGATTAACTATTATTTTTTTTATCTTAGGTTTCCAGATAAATGCATCCGTTTTTTTATTGTCTTCTGTTTAACAGATTTTTGAGAGATTAGTTCTTGTTAACAGGAGACTAGAGGAAACACTTCTTGAAGGACCAAGAAATTTATTGCATTTGAATAAATTTAGGCTAGCAATTATAATTTGTTTAGAGCTATAAATTGTATGACTTAATTAAATTGTATGAATTAATTCACGGCTACAACTCAAATTTGCTCGAAGGAAAACGGAAACCCAACGGCTAAATGACCATTGACCACGGACCTTAGCTATTTAAGAGTCTATAATAGGAGAGCAGCAAGTCCTCAGTCCAACCCGAATCAGAATCCGAATCCCAAACGGGAATGTAAGACGACTTCCCCTACATATATATGCTGACGACACACACCGTATGAGGAAAAACGTGTAAAAATATCCACAAAATAATCGACTGGGATTGGGTGGGTAGCGGAATTAATCCACCATCTAAAATTCTAGGGTTTTCAATTGCCCCTAATCTAACTCTACAAAAGATTCAGATCACACCCCAAAACCTGATTCTTCAAAAAATTTGTTTATTGTTTATAAAAGTTCCGTTCTTTTATGTGTTTGGTGTGAACTGTTGCGAGATTTAGCAGTTGAAAAATGGCGAGTGCGGGAGAAGCAGAAGCGGAGTACGAGAGCGACCCGGAAGAGGCGAAGTTGTCGTTGAAGATGCGGAGGAGAGAGGCGAGCGATGACGAGGAGGAGGAAGAAAGGGAACCGGAGGAGAGAGAAAATCCCCATCAGAGGATTGAATCTGACGGCGAATCGGAGGGACAAGGCGCTGCTGCCGATTATGACGAAGAAGAAGAAGAATACGATGATGAAGAGTACGGGGAGGATGAGGAGGATGAGTACGAGGAAGCTGGTGGAATTGTTGGCGATGGTCACGAGGAAAGTGTTACGGAGGATGTTGAGGTTGTAGCGGAGGGTGCTGATGGAGTGAAGGTGGTTGTGGGCGAAGGAACAGGGTCAGGTCAAGGGATTGCTGATGGCAATGAGAATAATGTGCTGCCGGGGGAGGAAGAGGAGAAGAAAGAGAATGAACCCTTTGCAGTGCCCACTGCTGGAGCGTTTTACATGCACGATGACAGGTTTCGAGACAATGCCGGTGGACGACACAGGTATTGTCCATTCTCTATGCTCAGAGATAGTGCATTAGTATCTGATTTGATTGAGTAATTTGTTTTGCACTCTATATGTGTATATCATCGTGTCTTGGTAAAAATTTCTTATAATCAGCTGGTTGCTTTCAGAAATTAAAGCTATATGGAACATGGAAGGTTTTTGTACTTTATGTGCCATCTTAACTCTTCAAATACTATGAACACATGTAGAGATATTTAGTCCAGTGGAGCTATTGAACATGCCGCTGTTGAGACATGACTTTGTCCATCAGAAAGGCCTAATCTTGCCAAACCAGAATATGATTTGATAGAGTAATTAGTTTGGCACCCTATATGTGTATAGCATCGTGTCTTGGTCAATATTTTTGATAATCAGCTGGTTGCTTTCAGAATTTTAAAGCTATATGGACCATGAAGGTTTCTTTTGGATATTCTACCTAGGTTAAACTCATAAATATTTCGTCTGCTAAGCAATTGATAACGATAGTTGTGTTAGCTCCTGAAGCATATTGTAGACATCTGCATTTTCTGGGAAGAAGTCTCACTTCGTGAGTGGAAGATTGTTGCTAGCTTTGTACTCTTAACTTCATGCCTTATTCAAAGTACTCTTAATTTCTTGTATAATTGCTTTCCAAGAGAATTACCTGTGCAATTGAGAAGGATTGAATTGAAGGAATCTTTAGTTAGCTGCTATATGATAGAAAAATTGCAGAACAACTTGCTAATTAGGAATTTCTTGATCACTTGCTTTGCGTTTTAAAAACAATCAAGCATGTCAAGCTTTGCATGTTCAGAAAAAGAAGTAGCAGGAAGGTTATATGCAGTTACTAGTAATGGGAATGAAGATCTCTCTTCCTCTCTCTCAGTTGCTGGTCGATGGATTTGAAGATTGAGATCTTTGTTGATTCTTTTAGGATTTCTGGTTAATTGGCCTTAAAATGATTCTTGGTCATGGTGTACTATACCAGCTTATATGATGCCACCTTCCCTCTTTCAAGGTGACTTAAAGCTCTCAGTAACAGGGTACATTTGTGGATCAGTTTGGGGGTTCCAACGGTTTTCAAGTAAACTTTCAACTGAATTGGATAAAATGATCAAACTCATAGGGATATATGACCCACATAGTTGATGGTCCACTCAGTATAACTCAAAGTGTCAAATGGCACATGCAAGTATCACATGGTTTGTTATGATGCCTCTGTGCTCTAGCATGCTAAGTTATCCATGAACTGCTATGAGGTTTAGACCTGTTCCCTTGAAAAAAACTCTTGCAGAAGTAAAAATCAAGGAGCCTAGTAATAAATAACATTGCAAATTCACATGGTACTGTTTCTTAAGTCACATAGTAATCCTATACAATGTGCTTGATATGTATCCAAGAAATACAAATTGATTGATGAGGCATATAGCTTAAACAATTTGTTCATTAGGGAGCTGGATAACTTATAGATCTAGAAGAGAAGGTTGATCATACTTTAACTCAAATTTATTGAGTGGAAGAACCTTTTTCTAATGTAATCTTTTTTTTTTAATTTAGTAAATCCCAGTTGCTTAAACTGCCCTAACTAAGAGCTCGACGGTGGCCTTTTAAACATTTTATCCTTGGTTACTTGGACCTCCGCTATTATGGTTGGAGATTGAGGGTCTTTTCCATTAGTTATCACTCATAAGTTAATTGAATGGAAGAATGCAAGGAAAAGCACCAAGAGAGCCTTGTCTTACCAAATGTCTGCACAATGGTCAAAGGTTTTTGTCCATACTGCTTTTTTTGTAGTGGGAGAACACATTTTCTTAATTTTTCTACAATGTCAGGTTCCATTAACACCTGATTAGTGTAGTTGCATCTCCATGAACTTTTCTAATTTGATAAAGGTAGGATGACTCAGAAAAAGAGAATGTTTCGAGCCTGGTATCTCTAGCTATGACGGTAGTTTCTGGAAGCTTTTGGTTTATTTTTTCTGAGTTGAATTACTGCTTAATGTTTAGAGTGTGCTTTTTAAATACTCCCTCCATTTTATTTTATATGGAGGTGTTTGATTGGCCACGTAGTTCAAGAAAGGCTTTTGCTACAAATGTATCGCTACAACTTGTGGTCTTAAACATGCTATGGCATTTCTGTGGCTGTAAGAGCGTCTTGTTAAGGGTAAAATGAGATGTTTTAATATTAAAGAGTTTTCTGCCACATAAAATGGATTACAGGGAGTAGTAATATGGAATTGTATTGCTTTTTGAAGATTAGATGTCAGATGGTTTGACGTATTCTGAGTCTATAAAATTGGTGCTTGAGGACTTAAATGTTATTAAAATAAAATCAGTGTTTAAACCTTGATTGTTGTGAATTCGCTGAATTTAGTCATTTGACAGCTAAAAGATTCTATTGTTTTATGCTAATTATGCATTAGCTACTTTATCCTGTATATCTAAGATATTGTCGGAATAATTGTACTGGTAATGCTAGCTGCTGCTTTTCTTTTCTGGCTTAAGACTACGGGTAGCATGTAGATAATGAACCATTACTTGTTCTTTTCCCTCTTTTTGTCTGCTAGAGTTTCTTCATTGGTTGTTCACTTTCTTCTGTGCATCTCTGGTCCTTCTGGGCCATTAATTTGCATATCCCACAACTTAGTCCCGTTTGATGTCACCCATAACTTCCCTAGTGTCCATTGTTCCGATGGTTGAAATATTTCATTGACCACGCATGTTGGATTCCATTCTACCAATTATTCTAAATCAAGAGCATCACTCTTTATTGTATAAAATTCATCAGAATCATCTTCAGTCTCTGGCACTTCTTGGATTTATTCACACATGCAGAGCGTTCTTCCCACCGTATGAACATCCCTCCGCAGAATAATATTTTCCTCTTGTCAAGCTACACGTGTCCTCTGCTCCTTCAGTTGACACTTACGAGTTTTTTGAATATGTTGACAGAAATGGTTCTAGCCGCAACATCC